TTCTCGCTTTATCTTAAAACTACAAAAATTATTCTCCCTATTCCAACTATTTTTGTGGTTGTATTCCTAGTATCTTTTATGATTTTGTTGTTCTATTATATCATTTATAAGTTCTTTTTTGTTTTTTTTTTTTCCCCGTTTACATTGGATCTATTATAACTATTATTTCATCCTACCTTGCTAATATGGTAGATGGAAAACTACTACGAAATTGCATCAGTTTCCATGGAAGCTTTATATCATAAGAAGGTACAACTAAATTATTGATGCAGTATGTACATGACTTCATTTTCAGTATCTTTAGATGTCGTTATTTTGCTTTTGTAGATGGAAAATATTTTAATGCTTTTATTTTCAGAACCAAGTAGGCAAATTTTGGCCTTATGAAAATGAGGTAGTTGTTGAAGGAAGTGAAAAGAATTTGAAATCAATAGTGATTATGGTGAATGCAGTGGAGCAATAAGGGCCAAAACAATTGCTAAAGAGATTAGGTTACTGGACAAAATGGCAAGTCTTGAATTTGCATCAAAATTGTAAGAATTTTTTTTCTCGTGACAAGAATTGGAATTCTTAGGAATATGAATGCAGTACATTTATTTCGAAGTTGATTTTAGATATGGTTTACAACGAAAAATGCACAGGAAATGGTGGAGAATGTTACCCAATATCATGTTTATAGAATGAAAGAGTAGAAGAAAAGTAAAGAAATGTCTTGGTTGTTTCTTCAGTTGATTTTAACTATTTATGTGGGATTTGAGAAGCGTGTTTTTTGTGCTAACAGAGTTGTATTGCTTATTTTATTGAAGGGCAAATGCCAAAGAGGGACATGACCAGAGAGTTAAATGCACATTGGTCCGAACAAAAATCAGTATTCCAAATAAACCCATCCCCATGTATTTTGTCCAAAATACTCTCCATAATATAATTTTTATCAATTCCATCCATTATACTTTAACTTCCCCAATATTACACATTGACCCCAAATTTAAACAAATATATCACATTAACTCACATTTTAATATTTTTTTTGGAAAAATAACTTTTTTTTCCAAAAAGTATTTTTTTTAGAAAATAATTTTTTTTCCGGCCAGATTCCGACGTTGACTTTTTTTTTTTTTTTTCTTTGAAAACTTTTTTTTTCTGAATTGTTTTTCCTGTCGGTCAACCGCCGTTGACCGCCAGTCTCCGTTATTGGCTTTTTTTTTTCCTATAAAATACTGTGTTGACAACAAAATTATTGTCTGAAATAGTAAAATTGAATACCGAAACAGTAATATTATTAATATTACTGTCCCAAACAGTAATATTATTGCATGAGACTGTAATATTACGGTCGGAGACAGTAATATTACAGTCAAAAACAACAAAATTGCGGGCCACAGTAAAATTATTGTCTCAGACAGATGAATTACTTTTGGAGACACAAATTTAGCAGCCAAGACACTAATATTAATTAAAATAAAAAAATAATAAATAAATCAATTAACAGTTAAAATTATTGTCTCCGACAGTTAAATTACTGTTGGAGACAGTAATTTAGCAGCCAAGACAATAATATTAATTAAAATAAATTTTTAATGAAGAAAAAAAAAGTCAACGCTAGAGACCGGCGGTGGCGGGTCAAAATTGGTTAATTAAGCTAACTTGGGTTGTAAATCATGAAATTTGAGTTGAATTGGGTTTCAATGAAATGGGAATAATTTTAGTATATATAAAAGAATTTTCCTTATTTGCAAATAAGTTTGAATGAGTTGAAATTATTTGAAAGACAAAAAAGTTGGATGTCCCTTGTCATGGACCTCTTTACCATTAACCTTTTATTCAATTGGTTTGAGAAAGTAGTTGATTCAAATTGATTTGAAGTCCCTTTTAATAGTTTTTGAAATTCCATTACTAGAATAACTAACAAAAGTATTTTTTTATGGGTAGTTTTCAAGATGTTGTTAATGTTAAAGTAGGTGACCAACAAACCAACATAAGATTGTGGTTTTTCACACTATTCGTAAATATTCTATTTTGTATTAATGAAAATCCCATTGTTGGCAAGCCATGTTTGTTGGCCCATGTGTGAGCACATATATAGACCTTATAGTCATTATAATTGTTGGGAGTTGGTCTAGGAGAATCGTCAGATCATTCAATCAGCATTTTGACTATTAAACAAGTTCGTAGTCGATGGTTACGCTTATAATTAGTATAATGGTGGTTTTCTTTTGCGCCTAGCACTTAGTGTACGTGAGATGCGTGCCATCAGCTACCGTGTAGAGACGTCGGCATACTTGTGTGGGTGCTTATAGTCGATGAGTCACTGAACTCTCTCGTCCTATAATCTCTAAGTGGTTCCTAATAATAGAGTAGATGTTCTATGATTATAGTTGTACACCATAGTCCTTCAGACCTAATACATCAATGCGACATCACTAGAGGTCCAACTGTGCAGTAACAGGTCCCCGAGTCTCATCAAAAACCACTCGAATGGCCAGCGTTCGCACAATACGAAATCTAGTGGGAGTATGTACTTTGTAGTTAGGTGTTCGAACTCTTGGTTATACGCATGGATGTCATGTGTGTTCTTCTAATGTATAGTCCATGGAGTCTCTGGCTAGGTCATAAAGTGGAGTGATTAGAGAAAAATAGTTTATATGGATCACACACAATTAGATTATATATCTTTAGAACGTCCGCACAGTCTTCGAACAATATTAGAGGTCTCCGTGGACCAATAGATCTATTTTGATTGGAACATATGTTGTCGAAGGGACCGTACCGCACGTTAATTAGAATATAAGGTTCTTGCAGGCACTTCATTTGTAACTAGGGGATTATTATGCGTAGTTGCTGGACATCAATCTTGATTCGTTAGGTTTTAACCGATAAAGTCGGCGATTGAGATTAAGAGGATTTTTTTATCTCAATCAGGATACTTAGGACGAGTCTACATAAGAACAAAGAGTTGTGAGCCAATGGCTAGCCTACACCTGAACTATTGAGGGTTACACTTCTTGTTACATAAATTTCTTAATGTGGTAAATTAAGATTAGAGTTGTTGTTCTTAGCATAATCAGAGTTCAATAAGATTGAATCCGATGTTCGTGATATTTGATTACGAATTGGAACGAAGAAAGGAACGCATTTCCATATATGTTAAGTGGACTTTCTTAATTGTGATTTTTTTCTAATTTGACAGGTGCCCTGAATTGTAAGTTTTCAATTTTGGAAATTGGAAAAATGCAAGTGGTACTGATTTGACGAGAAAGTAATACTCGTCACGAATACGTAATCGTCGTATTTTTCAGAAGTACGATTAAAGAGATATATATTAATGTTTTAAGAATAGTTCTCAATGAGCTTAGGCTTTTGGCTTCTAGTTCAACTAGGAGACTTTATTTACAAGTCACATAATTAGTTATAAATAAGAGACTTGGGGTTGAGAAACAATATAATGATAATCTGCCACCTTGTAGCCGTCCGCCCTAGGGGTGGCAAACGAGCCGAGCCGGCTCGCGAACTCGACGAGCCGGCTCGAAAAAAGCTCGAACTCGAGCTTCGGACGAGCTCGAGCTCGAGCCCAAAATTAGTTGTTCTGCAGCTCGGAGCCGCCATCTTCTTTTTTTTTTTCTTTTATATATATATATATATATATATATATATATATATATATATATATATATTATTCTTATATATTATTATTATTATTATTATTATTATTATTAACTAAATAGCAAATAGTCTATAATAATAAATATATCTAGTATTTAAATAGAAACAAATCTATATTACTTAAATAATTCATAATAATATAAAATATTATAATAATAATAATAATAGAAAAAATAAAAAATATATATAACTAGAGTTCATTATTTATTTTATATTTTTTTTATTTTCCTATGAATAATTTTTAATAAAAAATAAAATGATTTTAATAAAAAAAATTAAATAATAATAAATAAAAAAGTTAAATAAGCTCGAGCTCGAGCTCGAGCAAAAAAAAAATTGGCTCGATGAGCTCGAGCTTGTCAACATGGACTCGAGCTCGTCAACATGGACTCGAGCTCGAGCTCGAGCTGGCCAAAAGAGCCGAGCTCAGCTCGTTCCCACCCCTAGTCCGCCCTCCTCTCTCATAACCCTAGCCGACCCCATCGGCTGCCAATTCTTCTTCCATTATTTTCATGTCGTTAACCCGAAAGTTTTTCTAGTTCAATTTTTCTGATGGAAAATTTGTTTGAAGGTAAAACCTTACTCGGGCAAAATGAAGTCAAAAAATGTATTGCTCCCGCTAAGGACTTTGGTGTGACCACATACTAAGTTAGAAGGAGCATACATACAACACGTAAATGGTATTTAATTAATTAATTTAATTACAATTTTCGAACCCGTGTATGCTATTAGTTGATCGAATTGTCAAACACATAGTTTACATAATCCCTCTTATATGTGATTAATAGATTTAATTTCTATAGAAATTCGAATGATATGATTTTTTTAAAATTCCGCTGCGTTAACGATGCTTGCTTTCTAACAGTTAATTCGCAGTTTTTTCTTTCAAAATGTTTGTTAAAGAAATAGTTTTTGAAGCTCATTAATTTTTAAATATATCAAAAATATTTGTAAATTAAAGTAGTTTGGGAAATACAATAGCCAACCACAAAAGATTGCCTTTTTACTTTGTTGGCAGGTTAATGTGAGGGGATTGGAAACGCTAGAAAAGGATTCACATACTTACGTTTTTGTTGAAGAGTCTTTTTGCATTATGTTCCATTTTTTAACATGCAACTATAAATAGACTTGTCGAATCCTTTTTCTCGACTTAGGTACGAGAGCTTTGAATATTAGACTTGCTTTGTCATTAGCTCCTTGTACATATATTTGAATTAACTAACTTATATTTTACTGATCATTCGTCCAACCAGTCCGTCTTTTTGACATTTCGCACCATTGAATTACATGTTTTTGGCACTTTCCATTCTTAAATTGCGAATTGACATATTGCGCCCTTCAAACAAAAATTTCTTGGCACTTTGCAGCCCAAATAACTTTTGGCTTGGAAAACTTACGGGCAACTTGTTGGGAAACTGGAAAGAAGGTCATTCTTAAAGCCGAGGACTTCCACAAGAGACACCGTTTGTGGATTCCGAAAATTACGGAAATCCACAAAAGACAGTTAAGTTAGAGATAGAGATAGTTTGGCATCTGATAAATCTTGAGGAATAGACTTTACGCCAAAGTTATCACACAAGAATTCCCAGTATTTTACGAGCATATGATCAATTGGTCTAACACGTTCCCATTTTCCGGTACAGAATATTGCATATGCATCAGCTGCATACCTGAAACCAACCAATAATGAAAATACTATGTAAAAAAATGAAAATGCTGAGTAAAAGTAAACCACTGTTTTATAGATTAAATGATTTTCATATTTGTCTGCATTTTCATTTTTCTCATTACAAAATCCTTTATCCAATTAAAAACATCACATCCATTGTATTCCACTTCGAATTGAGAAAGTATAAGATTGCAAATATCAGAAAATTCATTTGGAGTACTCTAAATATGGAAGACTAATTTATTACGCAATAAAATCAAGCCAAATGTTTTTCTGTCCTAATATTTTTTTTTAATTCAATATGAGCGGTGAGTAAAACTTACTTGCCAATACCGGGCAGTTGGGTTACATGAGTCCATATGCCATTAAGATATTCTTGGGAGAAACGCTGAATCCCCATTGCTCTCTTCTGATGCAAACCTAAACTGCGTATTATTTCTTGAATGTCCTCACACGCAACTTCTGTAGCTGTCTTTGCATTTGGACATAGTTCAAAAAAGTTTGATAATACTCTCCCAACCTACATGCACAGATCATCACTATCACAGTGTTCAATGTAATTATACAAAACAAGATATTTTTCAGAAAAAAAAAAAAAAAAACAAAGCTTTCTCAGACATGAAATTTAGGTTAGCAACATAACGTCTTTAAATGATTTACTAAAACACCATAGTAGTTTTTGAATTTATTGGAAATTCTTTCTTTAAGGTGTTGTATTGTACGAGAAAAATACATTTGCATGTCTGATTATATAAGGTTAAATTGTCTCTTGAATGGAATACTTTCTTGAAACAGGGGACTAAAATATAATCTGCAAATTGATTTGAAGTCTCAGTATTAATACCAAAATAAATTCAAAAAAAAATAACCAACCTGTAGACCAGTAGTCATGTTAAGAAGCATACATATAACCAAAACCCTCCAAGGATCAAAAGCATGATCTTCTTGGAGAAGATTAAAAGGTGATCGAGGAGGTATCCAATTGTTATCGGTACTTCTTTTTTCATAAGCCTCGTCTCTTTTCTGCTCAGCAGTGAGAGTAACTGTTCGTGCTTTTTTCCTTCTCGTCTTTGGAGGTTGACTTTCGGAGTTGGTCGGAACTGCTATATCTCCATTTTGTTCCCTTTGGAGCTGTGTGCTGCTAAAATATGGAGAAACTTTTTTTGCTTTGAATTTCTTTGATTCAATTTCCCCTTTTGTTTTGTCATTCTCCTCAACACTGCTGATTTTTCGGCCAACACCTTTACGACCAGTCCTCGTTTTTTTCTCACCATCTTTTTTCATATTCTCACAACTACTACGAAGTGCACTTTGACTTCCAACAACAACATCATCATCTTTACACAAGCCATCTTTCACAATTTTCGTCTCGTCCCCTTCCATATTCTCTCTTCCATATTCTTTGTCACCTTTATATACAAATTGCGAGAAGAAATCATCTAAGGATAAATTAGGCAACTTATTTACACCACTGCCATCCTGATTTGCCAAAGGCTGCTGCTTCTCTTTGAGGCTTCCATTTGGAAAATGTACATCTTCATCGATCAAGTTTTCTTTCTTGTTACCATCTCCATCTCTTCTCTTACTTGTCAAATTGTCGCTATTTTTTTCATCTCTTTCTTCCAAAACTGTTGCAGATTCGGTTTCAGTATTTCCGTCAAACTGAGAATTTATAGTCTCATCCTTGACACGTTTCTTCAGAAAATAAGGAGAAGTGATAGTTTCTTCTTTTCGCTTCTTTCGTTCTCTCTTCTTGCCAGCACCACCACTATACGGAAGCTTAATTTCATCGCTACAGCCTTCCTTGCAATTGCTCTCTACATCTTTTCTTCTTTTCCGTCGCTTGCTACTAGAATCCTTGTATCCATCTCCTTTAACAATGGCATGATCAATTCCCAAATTCTCGTCAACTTGAGAATGACCATTATCATCCTCGACGACGCATTTCTTCAGAAAATAAGGAGAACGAGTAATTACGTCTTTTTCCTTCTTCTTGTGTTTTGTCTTCTTGACACTACCATCTGACGACAAATGCTTAACTCCATCTTCTGACCTCTTTTTCCGCTTACTTTTAGGACACTGATCTATTTCTCTTGTAACAGTGCCAGGTTCAACTTCCAAATTCTCATCCTTGCTACATTTATTTATAAAATAAGGTGAAACATTAATTTCAGATTTCTTATTCTTCTTCGTCTGTTTACTCTTCTTGGCATCACAATCCGAAACATTCGAGATTAAATGTTGATTGCTATTTATTTCTACATCCTTTCTCCTCCCTTTCTCCTTACTCTTAAGAATACTCTCATCCTCGAGAGATTTTTTCATAAAATACGGCGAAACAATGATTTTTTCTGCCTTTTTGGTTCCTCTATTTCTGACCCTCTTCTTTTCAACAAAAACATGCTTAGTACCATCACCACCAGAAACACTTGAACAAATTTGCGTATCTGTGTAGCTCAACTTCTGTTTCTTCACTTTACATAATTTGCCATCAAAATCGTTAACAATACCAATAATTCTATCCTGTCTATCTCCACTAGACTCAATCCCATCAAACTGACCCTTTGCAGTTTCCGCCTTTTCAGATAAAACAATGTCGGAATACTCAATTTCTAATTTATTTCCCTTCTTTCTCTTCGCACCACCAATTTTAATGTTATCATCATTTTTCTTCCCAAAATCAGTAAAAATTGCAGAATCGGAGCATACCTTTGGGAAATTGCGGTTAATCGTTTCACGGTTGCGTTTATCGTCTTCAGGAGAATCCCAAACCCCCAAGAGATATCCATTAGATGATGAAGACATTAGACATGGATTGATTGTGGAAGGGTTTTTTTTTAGCGTTAGCTGGTTTGATGAAGATATTAAAAAGTGTATACAGTTTACCAACGAAAGGGACTTAAAAAGTCTGGATTGTCTTATTTTAGTTTTTTTTTTTGTTTTTTTTTAGTAAATGATTAAATTCAAGTCCATTACGTAGGGGAGGAGGGGGACGCGAACCCTAGACCGTTACCTTATTGGTAAGACTAGGTACTTACGCTCAAGTTTCATTCTTAATTAGTGAGACCCCTGACCAGACATGACAAGGCTAAATTGTCCTTATGTGGTTAGGTTTTAACGTGATACAATTTTATTTCACTCTCTCTCGTGTTCTCAATTTCTCTTCTTCTTTTTTTTCCTTGTTTCTGCAGATCTAACCGCTGGTGCCCTCCTTCCTCTTTTTCATAACACTACCGTAGTCCGCTCACCGTAGCCACCATTGTTCGTGCGCTTGTCACCGCCAGAGCCAACAATACCTTTCAACCGCTGGCCGGACGAAACCTGCTGCAGGAGCACCTCCTCCGCCGATGTTGGAGATCGTCTCCCCCCTCGTCCAACACCACCACATCGATGTCTGGTACAAGTTATGGCGGTGGTGCCTCCCCCACCTCGTCGCCGCCCTTCGTCGGATGCGTGATTTCTATATGGAGATTCCCCTTTTTCGTTATCTCTCTTGATTTCTCAGTTTTTTTTTCTTCAGATATGTCCACAACCACCACCACCATAGCCGCCTCCTCACTCTCTCTTTCATTCACCGTCGTTGTCGTCGTCTCCCCCTCCATCCCTTTCGTTATTTTCGATTTTTTTTGCTCTCCAGATCTGAAAAGCAGCATTAACGTGACTATAGTCTGGTTCGAATGACTATTGCTGATTCATTCGATTAATGATTTATTAGTTTCTCGTGTTCGTTTCCACGTAAGGAGCTCTCTCTCTCTTTTTCGTTATCTTTCTCGATTTCTCAGTTTTTTTTTCCAGATTTGTCCACCACCACCACCGTCGCCGCATCTCTCACTCTCTTTCCACCACCACCGCCGTTGTCGTCGACTCCCCCTCCCTCTCTTTGGTTATTTTTCTATCTTTATTTATGTATTTTTTATTACTTTTTTTTTTCTCAAATCTGAATAGCAGCAGTAATATGACTATAGTCATATTCGAATATGACTATAGTCATATTTATGTATTTTTCGATTATGACTGTAGTCATATTCGAATATGACTATTGTTGAATATGACTGTAGTCATATTCGAATATGTTCTATCTTCTTATTTTTCAAGTTAACTTCTAATAACTAGATTCAAATTGTGATTTTTTGTGTGGATGTTGATTGGATTGTTTTCGTAAACAATAGGGAATCTTCATTGATGTATATAATTTGGTAAACATGACTATGCCATACTATATAATCGGAATTTTTAAGATGAAAATGTAAAAAACTGCAATATAAAGAAAGAATATGACTATAGTAAATATAGTCACATATAGTCATATTCAACTATAGTCATATTCGACGTTGTAAACCTGTAGAGAAAAAAAAAATTCAATTTTTTGTTTAAAATAAATTAAAAAAGATATGTTTATTAGAAAAATATTAAAAAATAAAAAATGGCTAAATAAAGTCCGAAAATAATAAATAAATAAAAATTATATGGTAGCATTTTTTTCGGAATTCGGAAGCAATTTTTTTGGAATTAGATTATTGTTATGGAATAATTGGGAGTAATTATGCTAATTGACATAAGAGTAGAATTGAGAATAAAATTTCTAGGGGGTTATCACAAAGAAAGATTTGATTTAAGAGGTGGGCATATTACTATATGTTATCTATATGATGGGTTTATTGCTAATGACCCCCTTTTTTTATTGGTCGCGGCTATTTGGAATACTAATTTCATTAGGGGTTTTTGTGCATAAGACATTGACGTTATCTTTATTAATAGTTTCAGTGGTTATACATTTTTACATTTTTTGCCAATAAGTCATCCATTTAATATGTATTATAAATAAAGGAAAAAATAATGTATATGACAAAATTACCCCAAACTTTTTACACCTAATTCTTAATTATAACCCCAATTTAACCAATTATGACCACAAAAATCTAATTTGAATTTTTTTTAACTTTGTTTTTTCAGAAATTATTTTTTTGCCGTCGGTTTCTGGCGTTGCCGGTCTCCGGCGTTAACTTTTCGATTTTTTTTTCTGGTTTGTTTTTTCCGCCACCGGTTTCCGGCGTTGACTGTCGGTCTCCAGCATTGACTTCTCGAATTTTTTTATTTTTTTTCAAGTCTGTTTTTTCCTCCGCCAGTTTTTAGGCGTTGACCATCCGTCTCCGATGTTGACTTTTTCGATTTTTTTTGTTGTCCGTTTTTTTCCGCTTTCGGTCTCCGGCATTGATTTTTTTTAGTGGTTTTTTTTATTTTTTTACGCTTGCCCTAAATGTCAACCGTAATTGTGTTGTCATTAACGATAATTATACTGTCACTGACAGTAAATTAACGTAATTATACTGTCACTGACAGTACATTAACGTAATTGTACTGCCGTTTACAATACATTTATGTAATTGTATTGTCGTTGATAGTACAATTGGAGTCAAGGACAATATTTTTTTTTGTTATATTTTTTATTTTTATTTTGTTTGATTTGTTGACAAGTCGACGTAATTATATTACTGGCGTTGACAGTAAAATAAGTGTAAACACAAAAATATTAATGTCAATCACATCAATATTATTATTATTTTTTTTGGTTTTTTGTTTTAATTTGAATTATTGACGGAGTATCATAATAATATTACTGTCTATTATTGTAATATTACTCTAGTACACAATAATAATGACTTTTGTTGTGTTAATATTATTGTGCTAGAGATTAGTATAACAATATTACTGTGCTAAATTGTAGTATAGTTAACATTACTGTGTTTAACAATAATGTTGTTAATATTACTGTCAACCAAAACAATATTGTTGTTTAAACGGGGGCAAAAAGATGTTAAAAATAATCAAAAAAGTCAACGCCGAAAACCGGTGACGAAAAAATCAGGAAGGAAAAAGAAAAGTCAACGCCGGAGACCGGCGGTTAACGAATGTGACGGACGAAATTGTCCATAAAATTATGTTTTTTTTGTCAAAATTGAATAATTTGTGAAATTTGGGGTCGAATTGAGTTTATATTAAATTAAATGATGAAATTAGAGCATATTAAAATAGGAGGGGTTATTTTAGTCTTTTACAAACCTCTGGACCGTGTGTCGACTTGTTTGTTAAAGAGTATAATATCTGAACCCCTTTATGAGTAAGTATTCCTTGATGAGCTTATTTGTAAAGGGCCCATTTTATTAAGTGCAAGACCAAATTAAAATTTTCAATGTACAAATACTATAATATTCTTCCTTGTTAGAAAATAAAATAAAAATCGATGCAATACTATAAACTAAAAATTTAAAAATATTAAACCACAAGACCAAAATAGTCAACGGCGGTGACAGGCGAAATTGTCCATAAAATTGTGTTTTTAGTCAAAATTGAATAATTTGTGAAATTTGGGGTCAAATTGAGTTAGATTAAATTAAATGATGAAATTTGAGCATAAAATAAAATATGAGGGGCTATTTTAGTCTTTTATAAACCTCTGGACCATGTGTGGATTTTTTTGTAAAAGAGTTTATTGTCTGGACCCCTTTATGAATAAGTATTCATTGATGAACTTATTTGTAAAGTGCCCATTTTATTACGTGCAAGACCAAATTAAAATTTTCAATGTACAAATACTATAATACTCTAACTTGTTAGAAAATAAAATAAAAATTGATGCAATATTATAAATTATTTCGACATCTAAGCGTCGAATTTTGGGGGCAAAATTCGACATCTTAATGTCAACTTTTGCATAAAAAACGATAACGTAGCTAATAAAACACATAAATGCTTTGTGGGTTCTTTCATCGTTGAATCTTCCATGTTGATGTCTTTTGACACCATACTTACCGTCTTTGAAAGGTTTGCTAAGTGTTGAGGGTTTTTAATATGTTGAAATTTTGTGGGTTTATGAAAGAGGAAGGAGAAAGATTTTTGTGGGTTTTGGAAGATGGAGAAGATAAGAATTTAGTCTTGTGATTTTGTGATTTTTAGGTTTATGGTATTTCAATAATTTGTTTTTTTAACTAGTATGGTATTATAGTATTTGTACACTGATTTTTTTTTTTTTTTTTGATCTTGCACTTAATGGAACTAGTATTGCCGGTATCCGCGGCCTTTTGTATTTTGCTACAAGTACTTTCGGGCGCCTTAGTTAGAGAGCTTAGACAGAAAACGAATATTTTAGATTAAAAATACATTATTCTCCTTCACTCCTTCTGTCTTAAAAAACACATCAACTCTAAAAAATGTCATTTCTTCCATTCATCTGTCTCTCCCCACCAGGCCCCTGTCGTTGACCGCCTTCCGCCAATTACGTACTGTAAAAGGTTTTATATATGCAGCACGGACACGGCAAAACGGGAGAACGGATACGAGGAAACACCATTTTTCAAAAAGTTGGATACGGGAACATGAGGAAAACATGTGATAAATTACTTTTTAAAAATTATTACTTTTTAATATGTTTGCCTTAAGGTCGTGTTTGGCAGTTCATGTATAAACTTGTAGAATCAATTTTGAGGTTAGTTCATTTTAATTACACAGCCAAACACACTCACAGATGTGAACGAACCTTTGCAAATCCAACTGTTGTCAAATCACTTTTTAGCTTTCCAAATTTGAGAAGCCGAACTCAGAATTTATTAAAATTTAGCAAGTGTGATATATTGTAAAACTGTTGTTGAAGAACATTTTTTGGAAAAAATATGTCCAAACTCGTAAATTATAGCATATAAAAGAGCTCTTAGAGCATCTTCCAATCTAATCACTATTTTTTCACCAAATCCTATTGTTGGTGGTGAAAAAAATAGGTTTATCTCCCACCCTTAGCACACTATTCTATAATTTCACTACTTTTGGTGAAGAAATAGTATATTTAATCTCCCACCAATTCCATCAAATTTAACACTAAACAATAAAATAATAATATTTCACCATTTTCCTATTTATAGAGAATAGCATTTGGTTTG